TAGGACACTTGCACACTGGGTCTAAAACATGTTCAAATACTCTACCGTTTGTTTTTTAATAATGCTATTTTTGTATGTGCTGCAATTCATTTTGTTCCTCGTTTTTTCACCTTCGTTTAATTGCTTTGTAAAAGCTGCGGAAAGGGTAGCACGTTCTCTTCCTCTGTCTGCCTTTTGAGACAACTTTTCAGGAAAATCTTGTTGCTTGCAAACATTTGCAAAAAATAAAAATCAATTTGTTTGAAAACTGATCTTTTTTTGCTGATTGTTGGGATGGGAACAAGGAAACTGCTTGGGTTTACATTGTGTTTTAAACTGGTTAGCTTCAAAAAACAATACATAAGCTGAAAGAATTTTGGCTTCAAAGAATGTGCAGGATTGGCTGACAAAGGACAGAGAAGGTAAGAAATAAGGTGGAGAGAGCGTAGGTTGTCATTCCAATGAATAATCAAAATGAAACATGAAGTCCTTCATTTCAAGATGTTTTCTATCTCTCATCTGTGCACTTATTTGCTTTAATCCACCTGAGTAATTCTTAGCTCCAGCCCCGAATTGTTTCCTTCTGTATTAACTTCCCAAGGTCTAAGAGCGCTGATGTTTTTTCCAGCATCCCCTTCATCTCCCTTTTGTCCTACAAAGAAAGAGAAATGAGTAGGTAGATACATGAGGGCGTTAGGTAGTGAAAATATGGAGAAGGTGGATCTGGAGACGCTTTGAGGAAAACCAACTGGAGGCTTTGCAGACAAGGAGGGAGGAAGAAATGAGTGTCGGCAGGGAAGCAGCGGGCGCTGGGGTGAGGCTCACAGCGAGGGGAACCAGGAGGTGCTGGTGGAAAGAATTTTAAGCTGCGTAAACATCTGCCGAAACAGGCTTGAAGGAAGCCTAAGTTTAACTGGGAAAGAAGAAGGGAAGTTTAGACTTAAGGTTCTAGTCACAGAGCTCACAGTCCTCGCAAGGCTGTCCTGTTGTGGTTCAACCAGCAGCACTTAGGAATGTGTCCCAGTAATCTGGTTTATTCATCAGTTTTATTAGGAGAATGGTCTCTGGACTGGGTTATGAAAGAAACAAGAAGGTACAGTTTTAGCTTAACCAAAATCTAATTTGCTGTTAGAAGGCTTAAATTCCGTGTGTGAAATGGGCTTAGTCCTGCTTCGGGGCTCACAACACACCTTCATTTTTCCTGTGTGACCGTTTTCAGAATGTCCTTCTTGCTACCTCGTAGCTGAGACTGTGTCACCCGTTTTGTCTGTCGTAGGGTGCTCACTGGGTGTTCAGCACTGGTGTTTAATCCTGCTCTCCCAGAGGCATTATGGGAAGGGGTGATGGTAACATGCGTCTGTCCCAAACGTGGCAGGTACGCGCACCAGCATGGGAATCTGCCTGCCTGCTCTCAAGCAGTTCTTAGTCGACTTGCTGAACAATTTAATTTTTGAGTAAACTCCCTGTTGTTCTTACTCTTCCAATATTTTCAAAGCAGACACACTTGAGGTGGCTTAGCTGCCAGAGGAAACTTTGCAGGGATTTCCTGGGTACCTGCCTTGTTCGTGGGTGCTGTTTTCCACGCAGACTGTGCTGCTGATGCAGGATTATTTCGTGGTGCAGAATTTTTTACTCTCACTAAAGCTCTGCAGCGTGCCATGAGCTTTCCCTTTCCCCTGTGTTTTACGACCTCTGTGTCTTCTGAGAGCTTGGATCGCTGTGTGGTGATGTTCCTCGTTACGAGTGTTTGGGTAGCACGAATTCAGGATGGTTGCCACTCTATTGGAAAAGTCCTGCAGTTTTTTCTAAGCATTATAAAAATACCATGAGGACTTTGTGACAATAGCACAGAGTTTATGATGGGCATCGCCACGTCGCTGCTTTACAAAGCTGTAGGCGTTTGGCTATGGGAAAGCAGTGGAGAAGGACAGCTTCCCAGCCTCCTGTTTCTTTCTGTATGGCTTTGTCTGGAGGTAGAATGCCTAAATGAGGCTATAGGATGGGTAGTTTAGGCAATATGCAGGTAGTGGAGCATGCTGAATTGAATTTCAGCCTCTTAAAGAGCTATTGTCTTACAACATTATAAAGAAATTATCTGAAATGTCAAAGCTTTAAATCCTTGTCCTCTTGCTCAGCCCGATAATGAAGGACACTGTTTTAGTCTCTCCATCACTAACACTCTGCCAAGGTAACGTAATCTTTACTGTCCTGCTGGAACTGGAAGCAGCTTTCTAAGGGAGGAAAAGGCGTTATTATACTACAGCCAGTCATGCTCCACAGTGGTCTGTAGGATTTGTTGATGTATTGAGACTTGTAAGAAAGGTCACTCACCTGAACAAAAGCCTTGGTAGAACACTGGGTGCCTGAAGACGTTGTCCCTGATGGGACTGAATCCACAGATAAATTATAACAATAGCTCTGAAATGGAAGCATGTTAGATGACTCCCTTAATCTGAGTGCTCTCCTAGAGAAGGTAGATAGAACTTCTAGAGTACTTAGAGGACAAACTTCATCTGCCTCTGAGTATCGTGCCCCTGTCTCCATAGGGACACAGTTTGAGTTTGATGCTCTGTATACTTTTTTCCCCACCCACTAACGCCCCCAGTTCCTCGTGTAGAGGAGCAGAAGGGTGGTACTGCCATCAAAAACTACTTGAGCCCAAATCCCTCGAGAGTCTCCTTGAAGTTAATGAGTCGTTTATGGCTGTACCATATGGGGAAGTAAAATAAGGATAATAATCCTGCTTTCATGTTCAGCCAGATGAATTCCCCTGCACAACTTACTTGTATTTATTGCATGAGCTGTAGATACAGGAGGCATCACTCTCCCCAGTCCGAACTGGGACGAGGTCTGGGAGGGGTGTGAGGCATACACTTCCCAGACTGGCACGAGTCAGAAATGCTCGGGAAGTAAAGAATAGTTCCCACGTGTGCTAGCGATGTTTCTGGATGTGAACCTGCTCTGCTGTGTCACTGTGTCTGCAGTGCCCGGCCAGCCCCAGCCACGTGTGTGGGACGGGGTTACAATCCGCTTAGAGACCCCCGGGGCAGCAGAAAGCCCTTCCCGCGGGAGCAGGGACACCAAGGCAAAGAAAAAAGGAACAATATTTTGTGGCTCACAGCCATCCATTGGGGATCCCAAGGGTGGCACGATGCTTTCCTGATTTTTTCCAGCTGCCTTTTTTTTTTTTTTTTTTTTTAAGCTGTCCCAGAGCAGCCTGGCTGGGTGAAGCACACTTCATGGAGTCAAAGAGCAGGCACAGCTGCTGGTCCTGCCGGAGTGGGCTGCTGACCACGGCTTCCCTGCTCACCTGGACCTGCCGGGTGAAAGAGTCCCGAAAGTGCTGCGGTTGTTCAAGTGCCACGTGAGGTAGAGTCTTCTATTTTATTTTCATTGACAAAATGACTAGACAAAAGTAAACACAAAAGAGGGAGAAGCAGAGCAAGCAGGCCAGTCCAGGCACGGCAGCAGCTCCTAAACTTTATATATATATTTATAAAAATATTATATATATTAGATGTTTATTATTATAGTATATTTTTTTTCTGTATGTATATATACATGGATTTGTATGTGTATATAAGTGTGTGTACACACACACAAAAACAAATAGGGGGATATATATATAGATATATGTATATATATGCGCACTCTGTCTATGGCTACTAAACTTTATTTTTTTATATATAAAAATAAATAAAACTATAATGGATTATAATAAATAATATAGTAAAGTATATATTATTAATATAGATGATAATAAAGAATATATATTATCTATATAAATATTATATCTAACATATATACTTATGTATATATAAATCCATGGCTCCTAAACTTTTAATGTGCGTGTATATATATAATATCTACTATAATAAATATGTAATACATACAAATTTATATAAATATTTATATTTTACTACATATTATTTAATATTGCTTATATATTTATAATATTTCATATGTATATTATTTATTATAGCATCTATTATGTTTTATTTATTTATTCATGTGCAGTTTAGGAGCCATTGATAGATAGGTATATCATGTATGTGTATGTATGTGTATAAACCCCCCCCCCTGAATCACAGGGCTCAGCAAAGGACAGCGAGGCCAGGCAGCGGGCGCAGCTCCTGCGGCTCCCTCCACACAGCGCCAAGGTCTGGGGGCACTTGGGGTAATTTTGTTTTCCTCTTCTTCCCTTTGCTTCAGGCCCGCGGTTTATGGGCTCTGCAGGGAGAATTAGCCGTGCCCTTTCCCCTGAAAAGGCACCCAAGCCAATCCGGCCTTTTAATCATTTTTACAGACCATTACATCTTGAGAGAATGGTAAAACCCTTCATTAATCCTCAGAAGCCATCTGCGACAGAAAGCAGTTTGTATTATTTACCATTTTGCCCTTCACAGGCGGTTCCCTCCCGGGGCGACGATGAGGATGGGCAGGTGTGGAGGGGACAGTGCCTGGGACCCCCCGAATCCACAGGCTTTGCTCTGCAGAGGGGCTGCATTCCCCTCCTGCTGCTCCGGGCTCCAATTTGAACGAGAATTAGCTTCACCCGCAGGAAAAAGAGTTTGGTTCATTATTCTTTGCAAACTTTTGGGATACGTCCCCCTCCAAGGAGAAGAGGGCGAACGGGAAGTGTTAAGTCTTTTGTTCTTTCTCCAAGAAACCCAAAGAGTGATGGCCTTAACATTGATACTGGCAGCCGGTTTTGGAAAGGGCTGTCGCACTGTGGAGCCAGGAACAGCTACCAAACAGCAAAGCCACACAGGTTTTTCTGATGTGTAACTTCTTTAATTAAAACACATTGCCAATGTCATTTAATTAATGAAGTAATCCATTGGAGAAGAGTACTTTACTGGACCATATATGTATCAGACTGCCTCATCTCTTATCATCTCCCAATCTGATGTTTAAAGAGTTCATACTCTGTAAGTTTATTCAAACACATCATTTTTCCAGAACTCAACCTGGTACTGCTTGCTTAAAATATGCTATTATTTTGATTTAATGCAGTTTCATTTTACTAGGGTTTAATTTCTTTGGACTATAGTAAAACAGAGATGCTCAACAGACCAGCTAGAAACCTCAAGCATAACATGATTTTTAAATGAGCTATTTGAACAAATGTGCTAACTACACTGAATTCAAAGCAGGACTGTTTAATTAAGATGGTTTCAGAATAATATCTGTGCTGTTTTTCAGAAGCGCTGGAGACTGTAAGAGTTTCAAGCTTGTGTCCTTAAAAATCCTCCCTCCAAGTGGAGTTCTCGACCCCGACAACAATTTTGGGTAACAAAAAGTGTAGTTGGTAATATTTTACCGCCTCCACAGACATTGCCTGGAAAGATGCACTTTTGTGAAGTGCTCTTTACAAGAGTCTACTATAGTACTAAATTTTATTACTTGTCTCCCTCCCAAGATTTCAGTAGTTCAATAAACTGCGCAAGGAGGCTTCAATTTAATTATGTAATTAAATCAAACACCATCATGTTCCTAGGAGCTTTGCCTTATTAACAGAGAAAAAACAGCACTTTTTTTTCTTCCCTTGCTGTCTTCCTCAAGTTCCTAAGTACCTTCAGAATGATTTATTTCAAGTAATGGACTTCCTAGGGAAAAAAAAAAAGCAGCTAGGAAGTTAGCTATATGAAAGCATAAAATGCCCATTTTTTGTGGCACTGCTCTGGCATTGCTGCCATCTAGTGTTGCAAAATGATATCTGAGGAAAATGAAACCCAAACCATTTTATTAGTTACCATGGTTTTGTAGGAAAACTTAAACCTGCAATAAAATTTATATACACAAGAGATGCTCTCGGTTAGAGCCATCCCTTTGTTGTTTGTTTTGTTGTTTTTTTTTTTAAAGCACACCAAAAACCACCAGGGTTGCTAATACATGTTCATTAAGACCAGCCAGAACAGCACTGCTTCAAAACCCAATCTTCTACAGCAGCAATTGATGGCTACTGTACAAAGAGAATCCCCTTTACTTCTCATACTTTCCAAAATGTTATTAATTTTGAAAGGGCAAATGATTTAGAATTTCCTTTTGAACGGCATTCAGAGTGCATTTTTAATGTAGATCTGTTCAGACAGAAGAAATGTATGGATAATTAACACAGAAGCAACACAGGGAAGAACCTGGTGTGATAGCAGTAGGGATGTTGGACTTCTTCCCAAAATAATCCTCCTGCTTTAAACAGAATGCTGGCACATCAGAGAGGTGAATGCCTCTGGGTCTCACTGCTGCGAGTTTACAGGAAAAGATGTGTGGAGAGTTACTGAAGGCACTGGCAATTTCTCTAATTTAGTGTTAGTACTCTGAAGGTGATGGAGCTACAGGACTTAGCTCAGGTTCACACTGTTTAGGCGCACCAACACCATCACCTGAATTCTATTTGTACCTCCTCCCTTGGAAAAAAAAAAAGGAAGGGAATCAAGAGGCAACTACCAGACACTGCAGGGGGGAAAGGCAGGGACCCTGGCTCTACCTCCCCCTCTACTATTAACATTAATAGTATGTTTCACACAGGAAGTTGAAAACACACTGTAGAACCCCTTCACCAGTATTCTACAGATTTAGTTACTCAGTGATAAACAAGTTACTGAAAAACTACTGAAGAGACAAGAAGTTCATGATACTGACTCAGCTAAGTCATCCTCTTAATCTAAAACTGATTCTGGAATTATGGAAGATAAAAATCTTTATAGAAAAAAGACTTGTTTTGCATGGTAAGGCTCTTTGGGAACTGCTGGAGTGAGTATTTCAATCTGGTACCTAGCTTTAACTACAAAAAGAGTTAGAGCTCATTATTTCTAGACACTTTGTCACTCTCCTAGGCACAGAAAACACCCATGATTTTATCTAGAAGATAAAACCACTTTTTTTCTTTTTGATATAGCAAAGTCAGAATGAGAAAAATCCTGGTGTCACCTCTAATTACCCAGAGTCAAGATAAAGTAGTTAAATATTTATCATTAGAATTCAACAAAAAGAGGTAGACTGTGGAACTTGGCAAATACCATTTTACATTACTACAAAATTAAACTTCTCCTTGCAGAAGTTACAAATTAGTAACAGAACTGTGCTGTCTGAAGATCTTAAATATGACAAATGCTATATTGGCTGTGACAACACTGATGGAGTATTTACTGGTATCTCAGTTACACTTAGAACAGGGCACAAAGTTCTCTACTATTATTCAATTTTACAACTTCTTCAGGCAACTTAACAATTCTTCTTTATCCATATGGTATCCGCTCTTCTTCCATTCATCCCGTAGCTGCTGTAATGCTGTTCCAATGTCTTTTCCAGAAGACACACCCATTTTTCTTAAATCATGGCCACTAACAGGAAAAGAAGGAACAGTCCATTGCTGCATTTCTCTTAAAAGATGTTCTTCTCCTTGGTATTTTAGAAGCTCACAGATCTTGGCATTTGTATTAGCTTCCCTAGACTAAAAGAAAAGAAGAAAAGAGGATGCACTATGAAACAGTAGAAAACAGCTCAAACTGTGCTCAACATTGCGTTATTCCCATGACATCTTATTAGGCAACATCTGGACAACAAGTTGGAGCTCTCAAAGTGAGAATCTCTTCTGCCTCACAAGTTTTAAAACTCAGTCCTAACTTAGAGGCTCTGTGTGATCCTTGGGGACTTCTTGAATTCCAGGTAATAGCCGTAACCATTATCTTCAACCTCCACACTGGAGAGGAACTATTACCTTTCCCATGAGAGACAGGCCTCACTGCAGACACTGCTGTCTCTCGCCTTCAGTCTCAGGTACTGCAATAGAAGTGCAGAACTTCAGCTGAAAATTACTTGAACTTTGCTGTGGAAGAACGTCACAGTTTGCCTACTTAACAGTACGCCTCACAAAGAACACATACCGATGCTCCAGGAATTGCACCGGCTTTCAATACGCAATTCAAGGAGCTGAATTTCACAGAAAAGAGCTGGAGTCTCTTGAGGTCCAGATCCTGTGTCATGTTTTAATGCAGAAGGGGAGATCAGCTGGGACAGTACAAAAAACTGTCAGTCCCTAGGTATGTTCACAGGAAACTTCTGCTTCAGATGATTAAATGTGACATTTTTCAGCCTGACTGAAAGGTAGGCTTTTAAATACAGTCAGAAAATTGCTATGGAACACAAGGTGCTCAGAACTGCTAAAAACATGGTGGGGTTTTTAGTTTGTTTAAAATAATGTCTTAATTTAAAGCCTCAGTATTTTGGATGGCAAAGAAAAAAGCTTTTGAACCCAAGTAGAAATGTCTGCTATTTATCCTCTTGCAAAACTAAACTCTACTAAAGGAAAAGAATCTTTTTATAGTGAAGTTTCTACTTTATGTTGCAGAGACATGCCAGGATGTTTACAATAGCTCGTTAATTTCTGGTCCCCTCTCCAGAGGAAAAACAAAGGGGAAAAAAAACCAAACCAACCCACTCCACCTAACTGGTATTGATAACACACAAAGATATTCTTCCAGTTACTGTGATGATATTAAATGGGGAGCAATCCAAATTTGGCTAATACTTTTTGTCAGTACATCCCATCTTTCTGATGAAAATATCATAGTCTTTAAAACGCTGGTAAAAATTTGCCTAAGATCAGTAAACAAGCCTGCCGATGAAATGGCTCTTACTTGACTCTTTAAGGCCCTTTCTTTCCACTAGGCATCGTCATCCCTGCTACTCTGTAAAACTGGAAATTTCATTCACTGTGAAAAACAAGGTAAAGCAATATGAAATACACTTACATCCATTATGAAGTCCTGATAGGGTCTAAGCGGTTCCGGACCCGTAGCTTTGGTTAACTCTTGCCGGTGCTTCACTAAAAAAAGGCCAAGGTTTTTTTCTTCTTTTGAGATTTTCAGCCTCAGATCGAGGTTTGTGACATCATCCTTCACCTTGAACAATGACGTCAGAACAGTCATCGGTTTTGGACACAGATTTTGAATACTTTTAGTGACTCTGTCAAATTCCTCTAAATCTCCATCAAGTGGTAGTCCTAAAGGAATACACACAAAAAACAGTGCAAGGAAGAGTGTTAACAAGAAATGTGGATGTTAACACAGGGAAAAAAAATAAAAATCTGATTTTTTTCTGGATAAAAACAAGTTTTATCTCACTTTGCCACGCTGCAGTTCTGTTTGTATATGATATAGGAGTAGGAAATATATCTTCATTTCACTTTACCTATATATTGGGCAATATCCAGCTCATACATAAGTCGAACCAAATGATTTACATGGTTTCCAAGAAGAATTTTTTTCAGTTCCACCCAAATCCTTTCTCCTGATATTCCAGCCAAACCTTTGGCATTTTCTTTAATTGCTTGCAGTGTACTAGGTTCATGATCACCAGGTTTTTCTGCGATTCTTCCATAAAACCTGCCCAAATAAAATCACTGTATGTTAGACTGAGAACAGTTATTCCATTTATTACTGCTATTCAGATAATCAATATCATGACAGTGTTAAATATTCTAATTTATAATACTAGAGGAAACTTAACAAGATGACAATTACAACACTTTTTACGTCACTGATCTCTTTTTGCATGTTTCTGAAACCTTCTACAATGCTTACTTCATTTCTTTATCTAGGAAAGGCAAAACCTAGTACCTGAAATATCTTAGGATTCGTAAATAATCTTCTTGTATTCTCTCACTTGCCTTTCCTACAAATCTAATTTTCTTGTTTTTCAAGTCTTCATATCCATTAAAAAAATCATACAGCATCCCATCCAAACCTAGAAAAGGAAAAAAAAAAAGAATATGAATTTACAAACATGATTGGCACAATTAAACACTCTCATTTGAAAATACAGAGGACAAGTTGTGCGATTTGACCTGGTTTGTCAGATCATCTCACATACTTGTACAGACCTTTCAGCTGATAGCAGTACAAACAAACAAAATTGAAACAGACTGAGATAATTTAGTGGCTTATTTAAGAAATCAATGTTTCATCTAAATATTTGCTTTTGAAAGAATTTACCTAAAAACATGGAATTGACAGTCAGATCCCTCCTTTCAGCATCCTTTTGCCAGTCAGTGGTGAATTCAACCTCTGCATGCCGTCCATCGGTGACAACATCTATTCTAAGAGTAGTAATTTCAAAATTCTGTTCATGGAGCTGAAAATCCCACAGACATTGTTACTTCAACACAATCATGTTTTCTTAAAGAGCAGACAATCAAGAAATACAAACACTTGAAAACAATCCTTGCATTATTCATTTTCTAGATAGCCTGCAGAAATCTTCCTGCAGAAGATGGAATAAGAGGCAGAGGAACAAGCAAGGCAGAGGAAGCAAGACTTGCGAAATCAGGAGCAAGAAACACTAGGATCAGCTTCCCCACATTATCTGAACATGTGGGCGGCCTACATTATCTTTTCTAGTGATAACACAGCAGCACAAATGGGTTATGCAGAGGCAATATGCATAAAAATATAGTAATTAATTGAATTCTACAAGCAAAAAGTAATAAAAAAATAAATCACTCCATACTTTAAAGCATGGTCTCATTTAAACTCTTACTGCAATACTTGAACAAAGAAGGAGCATACTACCAGTTTTCTGTTGGTTATGCCGCACATTCACAGGTACAGTTAGAAAAAATCCAAGTCAAATCATAAACTAACCCTGGCAGTAATGGTTCCATGTTTTTCTCCTTTGTTATTGATCAGACGAACACCAGCAGATGTGAACATTTCCTTCATCTCTGCTGGTGTAGCTGTAGTGGCAAAATCTATATCTTGTGGTGTCATTCCACTTAGTAAATCCCTCACAGCACCTCCTGCTATTCTCAGCTCATAGTTCTTCTTCTCAAACAATTCTAGGAAGGAAAGGAAAACCATAAAGCACTCTCTCAAATAAAAACCATAGCACGCTGTCAGCCATAACCTACCTTGTCACAAATTAAGGTCATAGATGTGGGAATACACACTCAAATATGCAGTAAGCAGCAAGTATGTACGTACCTTACACCTTCATGTAAAAACGCACAAATTAGGTACACAGCTGAGCACCCACATGCATTTTCCCAGTCATTTTTGATACATTTTTCTGCGGCATTTCTGATAACCTAAACATTAACAGGTTGCTAATTGATACTGGGGGACTCTGGGCTGTGGAACATTTTCAGCAGTTAGCAGCTGATCAGGGAAAAGCACTTAGTTTACTTATGGCAGAGCGCAGTGAACCGGGAATCCCAATTTCTTCAGGCACAATACCCCACAACAGCTGATAAAAACTGAGCTCCGCCATGTCCTTTGAGTAATTTTGAAGTTACACTGTGTCCTGGTTTTGGCTGGGATAGAGTTAATTTTCCTTCCAGTAGCTGGTACAGTGCTGTGTTTTGGGTTCACTATGAGAAGAATGTTGATAACACACTGACGTTTTCAGTTGTTGCTAAGTAGTGTTTATACCAAGTCAAGGATTTTTCAGCTTCTCATGCCCAGCCAGCAAGAAGGCTGGAGGGGCACAAGAAGCTGGGAGGGGACACAGCCAGGGCAGCTGACCCAAACTGGCCAAAGGGGTATTCCGTACCGTGTGGCATCATGCCCAGCATATAAACTGGGGGGAGTGGGGCTGGGGGGATCGCTGCTTGGGAACTGGCTGGGCATCAGCTGGCGAGCAATTGCATTGTATATTGCACTTGTATATTCCAATCCTTTTATTATTATTATTGTCATTTTATCATTGCTGTTATTATTAGTTTCTTCCTTTCTGTTCTATTAAACCGTTCTTACCTCAACCCACGAGTTTTACTTCTTTTCCCAATTCTCTCCCCCATCCCACAGGGTGTGGGGGCAAGCGAGCCCGCGTCTGCGTGGTACTTAGCAGCCGGCTGAGGTTAAACCAGAGCTGAAGAGCAGCACCCACCTCCCAGAACACAACAGCTACCCAGGCCGCCCTTCAGCACCCACCACCGGCCCACAAAAGCCCCTCTCCCGTTTCCCCGCTAAGGGGAATCAGGGGCTGCGCCTACAAGCAGCGAGAGGACGCAAAGCGCAAAGCCTGCATTCGCCGCCCGGCCTCTCCAGGCCGGCATTTTGGTCCTCCTCAGGCGGGGGGACGCTGCTCAGGCCCACACACCCCCACCCGGGGCCCGGCCGCACTCACCTGCCACGCTGCGGAGCCCCGGCGTGAAGAGAGCCTGGAACTGAGGGGACTGCAGCTTCATGGCGCCCGGCGCTCGGTGCCTCAGCCGAAGCGGCGGGAACAGCCGCAGCCCGGCCCTGCAGGGCAGAACCAACACCTCAGCCCACATCTAGGGAGAAACAACGACACGACGCGTCAACCGGGCCGGGCCTCGGCCTCCTCCCTCCCCTCACCGCACGGAGGGACCCCTCCACCACCACCACCCGGTCCCCCCGCAGGCACAGCGTCCCGCACTCACCCGCGGGGCTCCCG